GCGGCCGCCGTCCCTCCACCGCGCTCGTGACAGCCACCGGCGGGCGACGACCGGCGCTGACGCAGATGGCAACGCTGTAAATCTGTTGTCAGGTCGCGGTCGTCGCCGTCGTATCGGGTCGCCGTCAGTCGCGATCAGACTGCCCCCGCCTTGTTTGCCTTCGATTGGTGTGGTGTTGGCGAGATCTCTTCTAGCGTGGAATGGGTCGCCCCATGCGTCGGACATTCTCCTCGACGTAACCTGGCTGGGAGGTGCCTCCGCGAACGGCCGCAACAGGCTCTGGATCGCGTGTTGCAAATCGCACGACAGAATTACCCCTGCTTTTGCAACATTATGGTGCTGAATTGTGAATTGCCCCAATAGAAGCTGCCTGTACGGACGCGTATCCAGACGCTGGCCAGTTCCGACCCCGGAGCGGCCCCCGTTTGGATTGGATCATGCCAAGTGGCCATTACGGGCGGCCGTGGGGCCGGCCGGCGTGTTGTGCAGCGGCGGCGGTCGGAGGTGACCGACCTCGCTCTCGGCGGCGGCGGCCCGCTGCCGGCTGCTGCACGCACCACTCTCAGCCGGGCTGCGTCAGTCGTAATTTCCCACAATCCGGTCTGATGGACGCGGCAGGAGGGAGAGCGGCCGAGCCGGGCGCCCATTGTCTCCGAGCGGGAGACGATCCGGCCGAGTGCGGTTGCAATGACGGTCCGTTTTCCTTGTCGCGCGATGGACGATGCGTCAGCCGACGGGACCGATCGCGTCGGGTCGTAAACCGAACTGTTGACCGCCAGCTCGTGACTCGCCGCGCCGCGATCCCCAGCTATCGCGGCTGCTTGATACGAGGCGTGCGTCAGTAATCATGCGGGCCCGTGGCGGCTTTGTTGGCGCCCGCGCCGTCCTGTTTGTTCCCGGATTATGAGCTGAATCGTCATGCGGCGGCCGATGTGACAAGCCGCAGGCATGACTGATCACGTGGTGTTTGTTATGGGATTTGTATCGTAAAGGAGGCTGGCAAGAGTTGCTAATAGCGTCATGTCCCCTTCACAAATAGTGATAATAATACCCCAGAAGTGTGCATTTGAGACGAAATACGCGGCTACGGAGCTGATGGCGTGCCGTTCCCCACTGCGTTAGTGCGTCACAACGCGGACTGGTGCTGAGATGTGTAATGTGTACATGTGCATACATGGGAGAAAAGTTCATGGGCAAACGAGTGCAAAAACAGGGAAGCAACGCGGTTGTGAGCGTCCAGGAAGCGACCTGGCGTCAGCCACACCGTATATGGTTGGACCTAGCGGGCCAATAGTCTTTTGTGCTGGTGTACTCTGTAATTAGCGTTTGTAAAGTCGGCTTTGTTGATTGGCTTGTGGTGAACACGTTAGCCTCTACCTGCAGCGAATAACAGGATGCCCGGCGTTGTGTGTAGTGCTGACCAGGGGAAGCTCGCATTCTGTACAGTCAGCCAACATCCAGAGGTATGCTGACGGGAGCATTGTGGAACCCGGCAGGGTCGGCTAACGAGCGGCGATATCAGCTGACACGGCCGCGACCCGAGCAGGCCTGGCCGGCTGATCGTGTGAGGGACGTCACAGGCCAGTGACCGGCGGGCCTGTGGCCCAGCTGGGCGTGCGGAGGACATGGACAGATCCGTGACGTCATAGACGTGTGACGTCAGCAGGACTGTTGCTCGCTCGCCGCCGGGCGGCGTGTTTTGTGCGCGAGGCCATTAGGGCGGGTCTGTCAGGTGATTTATCGGCGATAAACTCTGAACAACCGCAGTTGGATGGCGCCACAAAAACTGGGCGTCGGCCGCCGCTCGGACCACCGGGTCACGCCGCTCCTCTCGCTGGCCGGCCGTGTACCGGGCGAGAGAGGAAACACCCTGGTCACGCCGCTCTTCTCGCTGGCCGGCCGTGTACCGGGGGAGAGAGGAAACACCCTGGTCACGCCGCTCTTCTCGCTGGCCGGCCGTGTACCGGGCGAGAGAGGAAACACCCGGGTTCCGCCGCTCCTCTCGCTGGCCAGCCTCACGCGGCCGTGTACGGGTGAAGGAACGAACCGCCGGGCGGACTGAACTGACGCTCCAACGCAGACCGTGTGGAGAGGCCGTCATAAAAGCAGTGACGGAGCGTAATGACGAAAAATAACTGCAGTGGGTTGTTGTTGAGATTATTTTTGACGCCGGCATGCAGCAAACTTCCCAAGTCTGGTGTTGCCCAAATGACCACTTGTATGGGCATATAACCCATAATGACTTTTCGGGATGCATGGTTGGGAAATTCCGGAAGCGATGGTCTCACTTTCTGAAAAGCCCTAATTGCATCGTCAGGGCATGCGGTGGCACCTACAGTTCACGAGAACAGGCTTACCCTTGTGGAAATGCTCAGCTGTCGCGGGTTTGCGTCTCAGTTATGGCGAGGGGCCCCCGGGGCTGCACGGCGTGTACCGACCGGGGGTGGCCTCGCCTCAGCCCAGCGGTGTCAACAGCTGACTGGTGCCAGCCGGGCGTGAGCGGAGACGGCCGTTCCCGGGCACACCACACCGCACCGCACTGCACCGCGGTCAGGTCAGTACGCCACTGCCGTCCGATCAGCACGCCACCGCCGGCCGTGCCACGCCACACGCGCCCCACGCACCAGCGATGCCTGCAGGGCGGGCCATGTCGCTTCTCGTGGCCACACCGCCTGTTGCGGAGTGCAGACCACGAGGGCTGAGACACAGAGCAGTATCCGTGACAGTTTCTGCTCTGTGACCCAGACACAGAGTAGCGTATCTTGGCGTGCAGTGTACGTGTACCAGGACGCCGCTGTAGCGAACTCCGTTGGGAGAGGGGCACCTCATCCCAAATACAGTGAGCGCACCCGGAGAGTTCGGCCTTCCGCATCGGCCGCGGGCGGCCTCGCGACACGGCGTGGTCTGGTGTGCTGTCCCGGGCCGGGGCCGGGCCGGGTGCCCTCAGCCGCCGGCGGGGCCGGGGCCGGGGCCGGGGCCGGGCCGGGTGCCCTCAGCCGCCGCCGGGGCCGGGGCCGGGGCCGGGCCGGGTGCCCTTAGCCGCCGCCGGGGCCGCGTCACTGAGCGCTGATACCGCGACTGACGCGGCCGGACCGCGACAACCCGGTCGAGGATCATCAAACGGCGGCTGGCCGTAGACAAAGGCGGCCGGGCGGGACATGAATCACCTGACGAGGGTGGTGTCGAAGCGGCGAAGAGTGCACCGCCCTTCGACCGCGCCGGCGCGGAGCGCGCACTGATCGGTGACGTGTTCGCTGCGAGTTGCTATGCTGGGACATAGTGTTGGTAATTAGCGCCCGGTCTATTTCATGTTCGGCGTTGCCAGGTGTCGGTGGAGTGATGGAAAGCCGCCGGGCAGAGGACGAATCTAGTGCCAACCGTTTTCGTTTTTCATGGCTTTGTTTTTGCCCTCTGCCGACCCAGAGCTCGAAGCAGCACTAAAAACGGTTCGTTCCCGCCACGGTCCAGCGAAAATAACCACCTGCCCATATAGTGTGACGCACACGGTCTGCAGCAAAAAACGAGGTCGTCGGCGGGAGTTGGCGTCGGTTGCCGGCGGCGCCGACGTGTTCGGTCGTTCGTCGACGGATGCCGCGCCGAGCCGCGGAGAAGGGGGGAAGCAGTCAGCACGAGCTTCGCGTTGGTCATGAGCGGACGGCGAGGCTCGCTGTGACCCGGTCATGTCCTGACCCCGGGGACAGCACCGACGGCCGGCTCGGCCGGGACGTGCCGACTCCGACCGGGCCCGCGCCGGCCTGGTGCCGGCCCGGCAGCGGTGCCATGGCCATACCACGCCGTGTCCGTTGCATCGCTGCGTCTGGCCAGTGCTTATTTGATCCGCGTGCCCTTGCTGATCGAACGGGTTGCATGCATGACCTCTGGGGGCGGGGTTCGTGGTAAGTAGAGCTGGTTACGTGTACCTTGGACCCACCGCCGAGGCAGCGCGGTTCTGCCGGGGCGTGTAGTGACGCGTGCGGAGTTTTTAGCCAGACAGGCCCGCGGAGCGTCGGGCCGCCCAGTGTCCAACGCGAGCGGACTGCAGAGGCCGCCGCGCCGCGCCGACCCCGGTCCGGCGGCGGCAGCAGTGGCGGCGCCCGCAGCAGCCCTGCGGTGGCCTCCCCAGCGCCGGCCCGGCGCCCCACCCGGCCGCCGCCTCTGCCCATCCATCACCGCTCAAGCGCTATTAGTTACTGGACGCGCGATCCATCACGGGCGGGCGGCGCTTTCCATTGGCTGATCGTAATAATAGGATTGCGGCGGCCACTCTGCGGGCTGCGATGAGTTGCTGCTCGCGGAGCGGGCGCTCTGCACGGGGGCGGTCCGACCCCGGCAGCCTGGGCCGACACCAGCGCCGCGCGGCTGACCCCCCCCCCCCCTTCCCACCCGAGGGGCATCTCGCGGATTTCGTCGGGCTCGGGGCTCTGGTGCGCGAACGGCGTCGGCGAGAGCTGGAATTTGTGAGCGGCGATTTGGCGTGGAGGCGGTTTTTGTGTCATTCATGTGGTCGCGGCTATGGTGGCGTGTTGTGAGATTTGAATAAGGAGCTGATTGCTTTGCCGCGCCAGTGACAGCTTTCAACCGTTGGTTTAACGTAGGGTTTAAAGGCGAGTTAATCAATCAGCTGCTCCAAACTGGTTTGTGTGGTCTGTGCGGTCTTCCGACTCGGTACCGTGCACGAGCGAAAGTACCTGCTTTGCCAGGGAAGCCGTATGCGTGGGATGACCGGTGTTTTTGTGCGTGCTCATGGTTGGTCCCGTTTGCGTTTTGCGTGGAATGTTTGCGTCGTACCCGCGTAATGTGATCCCAGTCACGTTAAGACTTAATCGAATCGGCAGCGTGACTTTGCCGCGCAGTCCCACCATGCCGTGTCAAACCGCACACAGCTGGCACACGTCGGCGAGCCCCGGCGGGCCGTCGTCGCCCCAGGCGGTCGCTTGCGGCGCGTCCCCGCGCACCGGCACCGGCTCCTGAGGTCGGCCGGTCTCTGTGCTCTCCGGCAGGCGAGCGCACCTGCGGCGGTGCCTGGAGCGGCTGCGGGACCAGGTACCGCCCGGCCCCGACGCCAGCCGCCACACCACGCTTGGCCTGCTCACGCGCGCCAGGGACTACATCCGGGTACGTCGGCGCCGCCGCCCGCTCAGCCTCGCCCGACGCCGGGCTCGGCGAGGGGCCCGCCGCCGCAGGGCAGTGGCTGGGATGGCCGCCTCTGGGCCGGTCCACTGCCGCTGACGGACCCACAGCTGTAGCTGTGTCTCTGAACTGGACCTCTTTTTTCAGATCACTGCTTTGTCCCAGACCCATGTCTCTTTACTCTGTACTGGACCATTGTCTCTGTACCGGCCGTCTGGCGCTTTACGGACCTCCTCTCTGTACCAGACTTATGTCTCATTACATATCCCCTGTTGCTGTACCGGACCTCTTTCTCCTTGCAAACCCGTCTCTGCACCAGACTTCTGTTTCTGTACCAGGCCCCTGCCTCTGTACCAGGTCCCTGTCTCTGTACCAGTCCCTCGTCTCCGTACCAGGCTCTTGTCCCTATACCATACCCCCGTCTCCGTACCGGACACCTGTCTCTGTACCAGACCTCTGGCTCTTCACGGGCCCCTCCCTGTGCCTGGCCAATGTCCGCGAATCCCCGCCTCTGTACCAGGCCCCTGTCGCTGTACCAGACCCGTCTCTGTGCCAGGCCCCTGTCTCTGTACTAGGCCCCTGTCTCTGTATCAGGCCCTTGTTTCTGTACCAGGACCTTGTCTCTGTACGGGCCCCTGTCTCTGCACCAGAACCATGTGTATTCAGATTCTAGCGTAGTCTACCGGCGCCGTCGACCGACCGTACCGGCCAGCTGGCGTTGATCTGGAGGGCAAACAGTGGGCGACAAACACGACACTGGGATTGGGCTGGCGTCGCCCCCGGCTGGCCCCACTCTGTGGCGAGCCGGGTCCCACGCATCGGAGCGCCGACCTCACTCAGCGGCCGGAGCTAACTCGCTCGGCGGCGCGGTGACCGCGCTGTGCGGTTGACACCGGTTGGCAGTCGGTCCGTCGCCGTCGCAGTCTCGCGGTGTGTGTGGGTTGGCCACCGGTCCGCGGTGCTGAGCTTCAGCTGACGGCCGTGTATGCATCCGGCAGTCCCTGGAGGACAAGGACCGGATGAACCACCGCTGCAAGCGGCAGCTGCGCCGGCAGCAGCGGCGGCTGGCCAGCCAGCTGCTGGACCGGCGGCGGCCGGTCGAGCCGCCGCGCCAACCCAGCATCTCGTCTTCCGGCTACTCAGCCTCCGAGCTCTCCGAGTCGGCCGAGTCGCCCGACTCCGGTGAGTCAGCGGGCGAGCTGCACCACCCTGATGAGTCATCCGGCGAGTCGTGCGACTCCGGTATGTCCGCCGTCGTGTGACGCCGCGTGTGTTTAGAGTAGCTGCCGAGTCGTGCCGGTGTTGTTTGTGGCGTCTCTGGCTGCGGGTGATGTGGATGTGGATGGTACTTTGCGGTTGGTACGTCTGTTTCGGTGGACCTGCCTCATCAGGTAGGCTGGTTTTAGACGGCGCCAGGGTACGTGGCTTGTTCCCCTGCAAACGACGGACGCTGAGCACCGCATAGCCACGCAGCGGGCGCGCGGCCCTCAAACCCAGGTCGTCATGAAGACTGACAGCTGTGGCTGAGGGCACGCGGTCTGTCGCGTCACGTGACCTCTGCCAGACGGGCTGGAGTTGACCTGAGCCGCCGACCTGCCGCAGACGGGCTGGAGGTCATCAACAGCGAAGCGGCCAGTGGGGCGGTCGGCGCCGCCCATATGACCTTCAACACGCTGGAGTTCCTCGGCATCAGTGGCATGCACGCACAGGCCAACTGTGAGCCAATGCAGGCCTAGGTGCGTGTTCACGTTCCGCTCTGGCTATGGACCTCCGTGCGGGGAAGGGCAATGCACTGGAGAGGCGGTGGAGGGGAGCTTTGAAATCCCATTGTGGGTCAGATGACGTCTTCCCTGAATGTTATCTCGAATGCGGTGCTGTCAGTGGCTGCATATGCCGCCCGTCGGGCCTTGGCACCCACTACCGAGCAGTGAGCTGCTGGCTGCGGTCCTGCCGTTGGCCCGCCTGACAGAGCTGGGGCCGCCAGCGCCGGTCCCTCCGCAGCCCGCGCGGCTGGGCCGGGCGGCACCGCCGCCGTCCGCGGCGTGGCCACCCGCCTCGAACCGGCGTGGAAGCTGAAGTCGCGTCTGCACACGTGGTGCGGCCAAGCATGGCGCCTACGCCGCCGGCCTCCGCCAGACCGAGCGGCGGTGGCGCCATCTCTCCGACAGCCATCTAACCGCTGTCTCCGTCCGTCTCCGCAGCTGCGGTCGGTCGTCACGCCCGCTGTGCAGTCAGCGGAGGCGGCCGCGCCGTCCGGTCCAGTAGCGCAAGACTTCACGCAGGCCCCCGCCTGGGGCCCGCCGCTGGCGCGCGAGAAACGAACGTCTGTCTTCGGTAGGGATAACCAGTACAAAACTTGTCATTGCTGTAGAGCCGGTCTCGGGGCCCCGTGCCGGCTTCGTTTGTCGACCGTACCCGGACAGTGGCCGGAGCCGTCGAAGGAATGTCCAGTGATCAGCGTCTGTCCGCTCCGTTTACCCAAAGGCCAGTCAGTTTACCGAGGGGTCCGTGCCGTTATGAGGGCGCCGCCCCGACCGCTGTGGGAAGCTATTTCCGACGCCCGCCTTCGCCGTTGATTGGTCGGCGAGGCGCAGCAACAGGCTGATGGTTGCGTGCTGGTGTATAGCTTTATTTATTAGCATAAAATGCGCGACCTCCCCTATCGGCTTGGTTTTAGTGATACGGCCAGTGACATGAACAGTGGACGCAAGCGTCCTTCAGACGAAGTCTGTTTTACCTGCGGCGGAACATGTGTAGCACATCCGCGCCGCCGCAAATTATTAATTAATCCTTGCTTTGTTCCGAATGTCCGCGAATAAATCCCGTTTGTATCGGCTGTTTGCGAGCGGCGTGCGGCGCCGCCACCGGGCGCCCAACACCGCGCTGCCCATCCGGGGTCCGCACGCACACCACCTCAGAACGCCGCGAAGTCGGGCGGGCGCGGCGGCTGGCGTCCGGTCGGCGGGCGCGCGGGCGCCCGTCAGTCGGCCGGCGCGATGGCGGCCCGTACCTGCGGGAACAGGTGGCTAGCGTCCGGTCGGCGAGCGGGCGCGCGTCCGTCAGTCGGCCGGCGCGATGGCAGCCCGTACCTGCGGGAACAGGTGGCCGAGCGTGGCCATGTTGTTCTGCAGCACGAGCAGCAGGCGGGCCGTGAAGCGCGCCTCCAGCGGCGGGAACGAGCGGCTCGCCACGCCGGCCGCGTCGTGCGTGAAGGCCGCCGGCGACGGCACCGTCTCGCGCATGTACGCCCAGACGTCTGTCAGCAGCAGGTACACCTGGCGGCGGCCCACAGAGGCACGCGTCAGAGGTGGCAGTACGCGTCAGAGGAGACTGGTGGAAGTACGCGTCAGAGGAGGCCGGTGGAGGCACGCGCCAGAGGTGGAGGTACGCGTCAGAGGAGACTGGTGGAGGTACACGTCAGAGGAGACTGGTAGAGGTACGCATCAGAGGAGGCCGGGGGAGGCACGCGTCAGAGGCGGAGGTACGCGTCAGAGGAGACTGGTGGAGGTACGCGTCAGAGGAGACTGGTGGAGGCACGCGTCAGAGGAGACTGGTGGAGGTACGCGTCAGAGGAGGCCGGTGGAGGTACGCGTCAGAGGAGACTGGTGGAGGTACGCGTCAGAGGAGGCCAGTGGAGGTACGCGTCAGAGGAGACTGGTGGAGGTACGCGTCAGAGGAGACTGGTGGAGGCACGCGTCAGAGGAGACTGGTGGAGGTACGCGTCAGAGGAGACTGGTGGAGGCACGCGTCAGAGGAGACTGGTGGAGGTACGCATCAGAGGAGGCCGGTGGAGGTACGCGTCAGAGGAGACTGGTGGAGGTACGCGTCAGAGGAGGCCGGTGAAGGGCGCGTCAGAGGAGACTGGTGGAGGGCACGTCAGAAGAGGCCGGTGGAGGGACACATCAGACCGGGTCCCATCTCAATATCTACCACGAGGCTTATGGCTTCTATCATCAGGTCAACCCCGTCGGAGGCTGATAAACCAGACTGTGGACCTAACCAGAAAAGGCTTCACTCATACACGATTAAAATGCCAATGAGTCCCGAGTGTGAGAAGACTGGCGAGCGATCGCGGACGTCATATCCACCTGCCATGACGTCACACCCCTCGCCGTGGGTTACGCCGGCCCCGTGTGACGTCAGACCCACCTCGTGCGAGGTCAGCGTGGCCAGCATCTCGGGGATGAGCGTGAGCGGCGGAGGCAGCAGCTGGCCCAGCGCCATCACGTGCAGCAGCCGCTCGGTCACGTCCAGCGGGCCGGCGCTGTTGCAGGCTTGCGTCTCCTGCAACCGGCCCACACCGGCCGTCTCAGCACCGCGCTGCTCCTCTCGCCGCAGAATCAGGTCACGTACATACACAGTCATGACGTCACATGCACACAGTCGTGACGTCATACGCACACGTTCGTAACGCCACACGCACACGTTCGTGACGTCACGCGCACACCGTCGTGACGTCACTGCACACGTTAGTGACGTCGCAGCACGCGTTTACAAGTGAAGATGTCCGTGTCGACTGGGACTGGTGCGGACGAATGGCGCAAACGTGTTGTACGAACATTTTGCATTACTTGTAGCGGTTTCAGTAACTATGAACGAAGTGGCTGACAGGGCGAGCAGAAGTCATCCAACGACAAATTAATCTGCCCGCTAGGACGACAATGTGAGCATGCTGGTGATAGCTTGCAGCTTGACCATATCGCCAGAAATTCAGGCTTACTTTGCAGGAGACCCCCGTTTACGTGACTAACCGTAGTGGAGGACCAATGTTGGATGAGCGTGGCGGCAAGCGCGCGCAGCAGCACGGAGCAGTAGCAGATGGCGGGCGGCCGGCGCGCCACCAGCTCCAGCAGGCACCAGCTGACCGGGTGGTGATCGAAGAAGCGGCGCATCTCCAGGTCCCGCTCCATGGTCACCTGGCGCGCGACCCGGCCACGCGTCAGAGGCGCCGCCCGCGGCGGACGGCCGGCCGTTGGAACACGTGCGGGACGCGGCTCATAATCAAGGGGGATGAACTCGACTCCCGCGCCGCCAGTCGGAGCCACATGCAAAAGGCCAGGCTACACTACGCGCCGCAGTATGTGGGGAACGAGTGGGTTTCGCGTTCACCGCTCAGAGGAAGGTAGGGGCATGGTGACGAACAGGGATGGAGACGACACGGGGCGGTAAGCCATCGTTAAGACAATGCAATTCATGCTCGGACACATAACTCAGGGCAGATGCCCAGCGGCTGCCTCCATCGACTTCAAACACGGTTTCACCACCCACAACCCAAGCCAGCAATGGCGCGCTGAGGAGAGTATGGGATGACCGGCGGTAACGTGCTGCTGCTGGCAGCCCTGCTACCGACTGCCACGCCAGTGATGCTAATATGTGGCCCGGGCCCGCGGCTCGGGGTGCCGGTGGTGTAGTGGTTCACTCGTCTGCGTTAACCACTGCGCGTCTGGGAAACCAGAGGTATGGGGTTTGGCACCCCGCGGTTCCCGCCCTTCCTGCCAGAGTGAGAGGTAGGCAACGCCAGATAGCCTCAGCAGCTGAGTGCGTCGTAAAGCCCCAATGACACACACAGGGACCGCGGCTCGCCCACCTTCATAAACTCCTCATCTGGCCAGGGAAGGCCGTTGAACATGACGTCAGGGGAGATGAACTCCACAAGCAGCAGCGCGAGCGTGCGCGCGCCGTCCTCGGGCGCGCGCGCCGCCGCCACACAGCGCGCCACCGTCTCCACCAGCAGCTCGCAGTTGAGCCGGGCGGCGGCCGGCGGCAGCAGGGCGGCAGCCGGCCCGGGCCGGCGCCCGGCGCCGATCACACCCGCGTGGAAGACCGTGGTGTGCGCCTGCGGCACGGTCACCAGCCGCGAGAGACGCCGGTTCTCCTGCAGCAGGGGGCGGGCGGCTGGCCCAGGCGCCGGCCGGCCGCCCGCCGCCCCCAAGTACGACGCCTGGTGCGGCTGCAGCGCCGCGTGCAGCAACGCACGCAGCACGGCCGGCAGGCAGACGGGCTGCGCCGCCAGCCGCGCCAGCAGCTGCTGCGCCAGCCGCGCGCGTCGCAGCATCACCGCCGGCCGGTCGCCGCGACGCATGCAGTAAAAGAGATAGCCGACCACGCTGTCGGCCAGCGCCAGCTGCCGGCTGCCGGCCAGCGAATCGGGCAGCTCCAGCAGCGCCAGCGCCTCGACGGCGGCGTCGGCGGTGCGCAGCTCGGTCATCCGCTCGGCCAGCAGCGGCGCGCAGGCGGCGACGGCTTGCGACAGCGGCGTCTGCAGGCCGGCGGCGGCGGCCGGCGGCCGGCGTCGCTCCCAGCGCAGCAGCCGCACCACCGAACGCAGCACCTGCTCGGGCGCCGCGCTCCTCGGCGGACGCGTGCCGGATCGCCTCCTCCAGCACCGACGCGAAGTTGCTCTCGAGCGCGCGCAGCAGGCGCAGCAGGGTGGCCAGCCGCAGCTGGGGCCGCTCCAGCAGGCGGCCCAGTGTGTGCGCCGCCGCCGACGCGCCGCGACTCGTGGCCGCCGTGGCCAGCAACTGGACGCAGCGGCGCGCGCGCTGGTCGTCGGCGCCCAGATGGGCGGCCAGCTGGGGCAGCGCGTCCGGCAGGGCGGCCAGCAGCGGCACGTCCGGCGCCGAGCCCGGCTGACAGCCGAGCACCAGCCGCTGCAGCTCCGAGAGCACCCGCTCTGTCGGCACGCACGCACACAGCGGGGGCAGACAGTGAGTGTAGGAGGCGGCGCACTGTCGGCCCTACCCCACTGTATGGACACCGTCAGGACCGCTGTCACGCACTGTCGGCCCCACACCACTGCATGGACACTGTCAGCAACGCTGTCACGCACTGTCGGCCCCACACCACAGCACGGACATCGTCACCACCGCTGTTACGCACCGCCGTGCGAGACAGCAGACACGCACGACAGCACAAGTTTTAAACATGGTACGGGTGAGAGCAAACACGCAGACTAACAAAGCCCCGACCACAGACTTGCCTAAAGCATACTAAGGTGGACGGGCAGGGCTTCCACGGCGCAGGTTGGTTACAAGTTGTAACAACGATCTACAAACAAGAAATGGGTGCCCCAAGTCATCATGAGTCACATCTCTGCCTCCACGGCACCTCAATGTCCCTGCAACCTCACACATCGCAGGTATGCGATCCCTCCAGTTTGGTGGATGCCTGCTCTGAGGCAGGGTCGCGTCGGTCAGACTCACCAAGCAGGTGTTCGGCGGCGCGGCGCACGTCGTCGCCGTGCGTCGAGTCCGGATCGGCGGCGCGCAGCAGCAGCTGGAGCGCGGCGAGCGCGCCTCGCTCGCAGCGCAGCACCAGGTGGACGGTGAGCGAGAGCAGTGCCTCGGCGGTGGCGAAGTAGCGCGGGATCCAGCCGGGCACCTGGGCGGCGACCGCGGCCAGCTGCGCCACCGTCACTGCGGCAGGCAGGCCGTCACGTCACCGTTACGTCACCCGTCACGAGGCCGCGTCACCGGCCGCCGACGGTGACGTCGCGGGCGGGAAACGATCAAGACGCTCGTCGCTGGATGTTTGATCAGATCTACGCCAAGAAAGCTATAACATAATGGACATATAAGATGGGATGATACGACATATAACATGAGCACCCCCAGGAAGGAGGCAATGCTCCCACAGAGAGCCGACCGAAGTTAGTGAGCCGAAGGACATCCCGTAACCAAGGCGAAAGCCGCGAGGGTGCCGTTCACCGACACGGCGGCGGGCCCCACCCGTGCGGAGGATCTCCGTGGAGAGCGTGTCCAGCAGCAGCGGCGACAGCCCGGCCAGTTGCAGGAGGAACGGCACCGTGGCCAGCCGCACCTCGTCCGGCGGGCCGGCCGGCGCGGCCGACGGCGACGGGCCCAAGCTCTGCTGCCGGACGCGGGGGACGCGGCGTCAGCGGCGGACGGCGCAGCAGCGGCGACGGCGGTGGCGGCGGCGACGGCACACCACGCTGGGTCACTGCTGACGCCGCGCCACGGGGCAGACTCATCGCGACACGGGCCCACACGGCTTCACAGAGCTCATCACACTGCGACACGGACTAACGCAAAGTGATGGCCAGCGCGAACAGGAACGGGCTTTCACAACGCTGCCGCGATCTTACTACCGTCATTCTTATCAACTAACAGTTAAAAGATCTGTTGAAGCATTTTGCGGCCGACGCTAACAACTACATTCGCAAACACTGCAGCCTGACAACATACACAGGGTGTACATAGGCAGTCGATAACTTAACGGTGCCTCTGAACGCGGTATGGTGCGACAATCGGGCGAACGCGGAGTGCGGTGCTACACACGCGCGGTCCCCGGCATTTCTACCTGGATCAAGGCCTTGAGGGCGTCGCAGATTTCAGCCGAGTTTCTGGCGGCGAGATGCCCCAGGATCTGCACGACCGAGCTCCGCTTTCCCGGAGTGCCCCCTGAGGCAGCGTGCAGCAGGTCAGCTCAGCTAGAGCTGGCGTGAGCCAGAGTGTCTCACATCCCAGGCCCGCTGCCCGGACAGCGAGGTCACGACCAGGACAGTCACGCAGATCGCAGTGACATCACGCTGATCCCCGTGACGTCACCCTGCCACCAGCTGCTGATGGAAGCAGCGCCTGCTGCACGTCCTGTAGCCTTCACACTGGCTTTTGCTACGCCCAGCACCCACAAGCTAAATACAATACGTCTTCGCCGCTACGCTGAAGCGCAGCGGGAGCGAGGCTGCTCACGCGGCGCCGTCTCCCGCTGCACAACACGGCCGCTGACCGCGACAGCGCGCCGCCGCCGGCCGCTGCCGAGGCCCCGGCAGAGCCTGGCGAGACTGGCCGGCGCCGGGGCCGCCCAGCTCGGGCGGCGGTCTGCTCACCGGGCGCCGCCGCTGCTGGGCGCAGAACTCGCGCAGTCCCACGCTCAGCACGCGCTCGATGATGGTGCTGGGGAAGCAAGAGCCGATATGCGCCACCACCCAGTCGAAGTGCGGCGTGTACGCTGCCGACGTGTCTGCGGCGGACGCGGCGCGGTCAGTCGCCCTGTTCAGGCCGCGGGGAAGGGGGGGGGGGAGGGGGGGGGGGGGTGGCATCGAGTGTAAGTACGCACACATGACCAGACTCAGTCGAACACACCAGCCGCGCTCATCACACTGAACACGCGGCCCAGGTTTTGCTTTGGGTATGACCCATGACATCTGGCTGTGATATTGTAAACACCATGACGGAGAGGCATCAAATGGCTGACGAACATCACTGCTGAACAAACCACGACCGTCTGCAAGGTAACTTAGTCAACCCTCAACTTAACCCACAATACATATTTAACAACACTTTATTAAACACACAGGCGCCCTCAGGCGGCCACGCAACTTCTCAAGAGTACGTTTCTAGCCACCAGCCGTACACGTGTCCCCTGGGGAGCAGGACATGTGTAGAGTGGGGGGGGGGGGGGGGGCTGTGAGGAGTGTGGGGGGGGGGGGGGCACATCCCCGCCGACGGCGCTGCGCTGGCCGGGACTGACCGAGCAGCGGCTTGATGCAGACGTCCGTGTCGTGACGCACGCACAGCACGGTCACGTGGATGAGCGCGCGCGTGGCCGGGCAGCACAGCCACAGCTGCACCAGGTCGTTCAGGCCGGCCGAGTGCGGCACGTGCGCGCGCGCCGAGTACCGGGACGACAGGCGACCTGGCCGCGAGTCGGGCGTCAGTGCGGGCTCGACGGCGCCGCTCACACGTGGAAGCAGCCGAGACGGCCCACGCCACGTCGGGACCGGAGCGGCAGGCCACCGGCGCACGTCAACAACAGACGTCCGTCGGCATGGCAGGATTATACCAACAGACAGGGACTCCGGGCTCGGATACGCAGCACCGGGCTTCTGGACGGCGATGTGTCCAAGAGGCCCCAGAATCACGCCAGCGATCCAGTTCGCCACGTTCGAGCTGAGCCCACCGGCCAGGTTACCTGCTACCTCCAGGCATATTCAACACGCCA